TCGATTAACGAACGAGCCGTGATTGATACTTGGATGTGATACCTAAGGGTGAACAATAAACTAAAGTGAAGTATGTGAATGTATTTATAGTACTAGCGTGGGCGCGCGCGTTGCGCGACGGTTTGTGCCCAATGATGGGTAACGAGTAAAGCGAATGCAAAATAAAAGGCAAATAAATAACAAGTTGTTTGCAAAAGTGCCCTACAAGTGCTTTGGCAGTAACACAATAATAAGTTTTAGCATGAATATACAAGGATCAGTTATAGCAAAACACATTTGTGATAGATTGCACAGAGTTTGCATTTGGTGTTTTTCAGCGGCAGAAAGTTTAAGCAAACATTACAGATGCAGCACATGGTAGGGACAACGTCAATGTTACTGAAGAAGTGTTGCAGCACTACCCCCTGGCAGCAGTGCGCATTTCATATGTGTTTGTTTCTTTCAGAAGTTCCTCGACACCACATTTCGAAACGACAAGTAGCAGCGCCCCACCCCGGCCATGCGTGACGAAGAAGAGAGTGGAGCTGCGCTTCAGCTCAAAAGTCTTTTGAATTTTCTGCAGAATGGGCCGTTCTCCAGTAACAAAGCAAGCATCTTCTTTGCCATAATAGATTCGCACGCGTTTCCTCAAGTCACTGCATGAACGCAAGAAACCTTTACACCATTGCTGCATTGAATGCAAAAACAACACAATGAGTGTGAGAAAAGTAACGATTAGGTGATGCAAGAGTTTGGGATGTTTTTGGGGAAAAAATGTTCATGAATTGCATAAATGTGGCTGCCTTTTTAACAGTGCATGGCTTATCATCCAAGCTATCATAGTGGTTGCACAAGAGTTCTTGCATTTTACATAGACACGCGAAGCGGTTTGTTTTTTTACATTTAACGGCATATTTAAATAGTCTATGGATTTCCTTGGGGCTCTTGCAGTTTCTTATTACTAAGATGAATCGGTTTTTTTTAAACAAGCAAAGAAGAATAAGAATGCGATAGTAATAACAAGCATTTTTAAACAGGACATACCTGAGGAGTTTTTTTTGGGACATAGAGATACGAGGGAGGATCATACAATCTCCCGTATGAGTGATCTTCGAAAGAGGATTCAACATACACAAAGAAGTCATTTGTATAATAGCAAAAAAACACATGGAAGTACACTAAAGGGGGAACCAACAATAACACACACTACATAGATGGTACTCAAGAGTTAGAAGGCATGAGAAGCAAGTTAGCCAGACAATTTGTTTTAGTGTGGAAAAGAAAGTATATTGAATATACCAGGGGTATGCAAAGGGTTTGAACAATCAAGAGGAGCCCCAGCCAGGTTTAGGGAGTAGCCTTGCTTGTCAAACATGTAAATTTCAAATATGAAATTTCCCACGTGGCGTAGGAGAGCATATGAGCCAAACTCAATATCATTTTCAACAAATAATTCTGCAAAACCATCGGTGAAGCAGCAATTATCAACCTTGACAGTCCATGATGTGGCCCCATACAGCAGGCGAGCATAAGGCCCGACATGCTCGAACAGGTGCCTTCGCACACATCCAGGAATTGTCTGCAAAAGAATGTCAGAAATTAAACAATACAGCACGAATGGACAGAGGCGTGATCAGACAAGATGGATCAGGGAATGAAAGTTGGAAGCGTACAACGACTTCGATGTCAGGGATGTTCAGCTTAAACCAAACCACAGTGAACTGTAAGACGACAGGAAAATGAAATGTTCCACTTTTCGAACACGCTGCAAAATTAAAGTAATGATAAACAAAACAACAAGAATGAACTATTGGGCAAATAAGTGTATTTCTAAAGGGGAAGGGATGGTGCACAGAACGAACAAAGCACTTGAAAAACTGCCATGAAGACTACACAAGAAGAAACAAACCAATAAACAACCGACAAACTGGGTAAAATGAACAAAGTTTACAAAGGGACATTGTCACAAGAGAAAGAAATGGTGTACACAAGTTAGAAAAAAAACAATGCAATCAAAGGCTTTGGTGTGCATGGGCGCAGGAAATGGCTGAGCTTGTGCTCAATTTCATCCTTGGACCTAAACTTTGTTGGGAGGAATTTGTTACATCCCGAAGCACGTAAAAATTGCTTCCATTCATCACTTGTCTCACAACCAACTTCTTCTCCATTTGTTTGGGTGATGAAAGCCACCATTATCTTCCTCCCATGCACCGTGTTCACAAAATACGTAAGAGTGTCGCTGCGAGGAGGCAACTTTGCCTTGACAATGGTGCAAGTGCTTAACAAATCCATAAACCTGGTTCAACAAAATTAGACAATACGATTGCACTCAAACACATTTTCCTGTATTTGACAGATTATAGCTATTGGTCTCCCATTCTCCTTCAAAGTTTGAGAAAAAAACAGGTGCCATATTAACATCATGTCATTTCTTTTCTTTTCTGTCTCAAACAGGACCATATTATATATTTCAAACATAAAGCTAGTATTTAATTTTTTAATAATATGAATATGGATTCAAAGTAACAACAACTTTAAAAACACCTACTGCAAAATCTTAAAAAAAAAACAAAAGTAGTCACTGTCTGTAAGTATCCCTCCATAGACTCCAATATTAAATAAGGACCAAAGAAACTCAAACAAATAGTTAAAACAAAACCAAGAAAGGAAGCGCAATCCATGAGAGTACAGCCATATCAGTGTGAAAATAAAAGGGATGTGTGTAAGAAAGAGGACAACAAGATAAAGCAAATGAGAAACCTACAAAACCCACAGCATGGTGTCACCAAGAACCAAGCCACATAATGGTTATTTCAGCATATTAGTGAACTCTCAGAGAACCTAGAAATATTCAAACATTTTTTTAATATTTCATTATTTCCCTTTTTTTTGTTTAAATAGCACTATGTATATTATGTGTATATGTAAAAAATTATACTATAATTTTATCGCTACGGATGGCCCAAAAACGGATTGAAACTTAAAATTCCATATTTGCCCCGCTTTCTCTATCATGTAATGGGTTCGGGTCCGGATCCAGGAAATGGTTTTAAATTCTGACTCACTCCCTCAAACCAAGGGCTAGTTTCGGATCTAGTCCGGATCCAGACCCGGCCCATTGACAGACCTATCAACCCCATCATTTTTTTTTTTGCAAACCTAGACATGTGTGTTCTAGGATGGCTTTCATATATTTTGATTGGATATATGACGTTGCTGATTAAATTGTTTTGTTCAACCGTGTGTACTTGGTAAAGCATGAGAAACGTTACTTTTATGTAACTTCACTCGGCCATACGTATGCCCTCTGTGGTAAAAAACGTGTGTGTGGGGGGGGGGGAGGCTTAGATAAAAAACATGTATTTTGTGCAAATACTTTAAGTGTTCCCCTTGGCATGAGGAAAGAAAGGGAGAGTAAAACAACCAAAAGGGATTAAAAAAACTCCATGCCAGATTTAAAAAACATAAAAGACAACCGGCGATTGTTGGCACCACAAAAGATGCATTCTTTCAGAATAAGCAAAGCTTCGGAATCTACGATCATTTGTATGGCTGCTTCTATACAAAGTGTTAGCAAGCCACAATCTAAGAGTACATAATTGTGCGTTCGTATATACAGAACAACCATGAGCTACCCAAGATGGACAAAAGAAGAGCAAAAAGCAAAAAACCAGATGCAGACAATGCATCAATGAGCATGGGCAGGTGTAGTCAGCTAAGCCACTGATCAGAGTCAAATGTTTGAGCGAAAAATAGATGACCATAATGTACAAACAAGTCAAGAAACATCAGTGCGTCAACCTAATACCAAAAGAGCAGAGCTTGAATGTCAGGCAGTAGGAGCTTTGCGCTTCCTAAGGCGAGTGTTCGCAATTGGCTACTCGTCAGATTCTTCAGCAGGCAGGGGGGCTTTCGCAGGGGCAGAAGGAGATGTGTCGATGATGCTGTCTAGAGTCTTGAAGTTTAGTTTTCTTTTAGGATCAGTGGCAGTGCCTGCAGTTGCTTCCGGGGGTACAACATCTGCTGATGGGGCAGTTTTCAATGGCGTTTTTTCTTGCGCAACAAGGACAATACTGTACGGGTTCTTCTGAAGACCATCCTCATTGCTTTTTTACCATTTTACGCCTGCAATCACCGTCAGCGATTGCAGCTTAGTACCCAGAGCTTCCAAGTCCATGTCAGTTTCTGGGTCCATGCCAACGTATTCAACCAGGCGTAATATATCGCCTGTGAAGAGAGTAACGGGAATGCAACCGCTCGTGTCAGCCAGCGAGGCATTGCAAATATACCTACAAAAAAATAAAATTGGGTTAGAGTTTGAAGTATTTATCATGGATATCGCCAGGTTTTTCAAAACTCATACCGTTTAACCATGGTTTCATGTTTCTGTCCACAAAACAAACACTCGAACAATATGCCATCATCTCCATAAACTTTGCGGTTACAATAATCACAACCCACATAGAAACCATCTCCCGTATTGGCGATCAAGCTGAACTATCCACACATCCAAACCACAGGGACCTGTTGGAAAAGGCGACATGCAAAAGAAGACAGTTTTTTCAAAAACCAAATACAACAGTATTAGAATGTAGCGTTGTAGGTTGAATGTAGTGAACAAACCTTGTTCAGTTGAGTTTCTACAGCTGAAACTGTTGTTCGCGGTTGTGAAACAGGGCGGGCAATGTCAGCCAAAGCATCATCGTATTTCTTCCCCACGACAAGTTCATCAATCTTCGCTGTATTAGCGGCGACCCTACAAAAAGCAAAGTTTTGGTCAGAAAGGTGAGGCCTTGAAGTTTACACTACGAATGCGAGAAAGCAAATTTACCATTTTTTCAGAACCAAGGCGCGCTCGCCAGTCCGATTAAGTTCCATGTGGCTGTCAAATCTTGTTGAAAGGGACAATCCTGGAAAAAGAAACTATGTTTGGAAACGGTGGCAGTTTAGAAAATTTACAATTGTGCAGGTCAGGGCTAACCTTGAAAGAGGTTAATAGCAACCCTTTTGATGAGTACAAGTGGGAACTCCCCTTCCTTCAGCCGTTTTTCAATTTCGGAACCATGACGAGTTACAAATTCTTCCCACATAGTCAGTGGTATCGGCGTACAACTGCAGTGAAAATCAAATCATATGAACGTTATTGATACACAAGGAGTAGAGGGTAAGGATGAGAAAGAGCGGTTGCACGTACTCTTCATCAACCAGCACAACGTCCCATGCAACCTTCTGTCCGTCATTAGTAACTATGAAGGCACGCGGCAGTTTTGCGACAATTGCAGCCAGAACACCTGCAAGAATAGTTCCAAGGTGTGACAATTGTAAGAAGCATGGCAGGTGGGAAAACTCCTTAATGGCAATGGCGACTCACAGATTTTTTCATCATGAAGGTAGCAAATGTAAAACTCCCAGAATGGTCTAGTGCCTGTTTCAGCCAGCTGACGACAATCAATTCCTTCAGTTGAGGCAACATCCTGGATCAATGTCCTTCGATTGAAAGACCAAACGTACTTATAAGTTTCATCAACGCAGTAACGAAGGTCATTTAGTGGCTTCACATATGCGTTAGAGATGAGATACGTTGAGTATAATGTCAGGCGCTGATCAAGCCCAGCGATGTCGCCCTGGAAAGCAGTTGTCTGAACCTTTGTCCCCTAAACAAAATCAAGAAATGCAAGCGTTTAGAGAAGGCCATGTATAGAACAGAAACATTATATTTCACAAACGAATAAGGGGCGACGTACGGTTGAGTCCATCAGTATTATTGGCACAAACTTTATGGGGGAACTTTTAGCTGACCGAACATTCTGCTTTTCAATGACCGTAAGGCGGTAGGTCCACCTTTGCGTTTCTGGCTTGACATCGACAATCAAAACCTCAGCTGCCATAGTGCTGGTGATCTGTGAATGGGAAGAACAATGAATTATATAAATGCATTAACTATGTGAAATAACAGGAAGCATACAAGTGACAAACACACACCTCTAGTTAATGTAAGGCAATATTTCATCATAAACAACATTGAATGTACTATTCATGATAGCTGGTCTTTGTTCATTTGGGCACATCACAATTTTAATGGATTCTGAATTTCTGGCTCTTGACATTGCGATGTACAGCTGACCATGTGAAAAGACGGGCTCTTTCAAGTATATACCAACAAAGTCTAGAGTTTGCCCTTGGGATTTGTTTATTTTCATGGCGAAGCAAACTTTGATGGGAAACTGTGTACGTTTAAATGGCATTGCACAATGTTCATCCTTTGTCACTTCAAGAGGAATTTTAGGGATGAACACATGCTTCCCTTTGTGATCACCGGAGGTAATGAAGCAGCTCAAGACATGATCTCCAAAAGAGTCACAAATTAACCGGGTGTCGTTGCACAGAACCTCACAAGGGTTGAGATTGCGCAATAACATGACAGGACAATTATGTTTCAAAGTTAGCTTATGAGGCGGTAAACCAGCAGGGGACAAGGTGTGCAGGTAATCTTCACAGTGCATGTATTTAGGGTCAATTGCAGTGTCATAGCTAAGATATGTGTGTTCTTCACCAGGGAATTTCCTCATTAAGGATGAATTTATGAAGTCAACAAATTCAATTTTAGTCGTGAGCAAAGCACGACCCATCAAGGCATAAGGGTCAGTCTGGAACAGCCGCAAGTCCGGGTATACTGCAGCGAAAAGTAGATCAAGCGAAACAGCTTCATTGATCCAAGGTATGAGAAAGGTAGAGGGGATCCTGATTTGACCAGTCGTGTCAGTTGGTTCAGTTCCATTGCCAACACGCATCAAGTATTCACAAAAGGCAGGATCTTCATGCGCCCGCATGTTTGCTATCAAGCGCAAACGGCGGACGTGGGGCCATATTGTAAATGACTTTACCAGACATGCATCGATGAAGTCCTTCTTTGTTCCAGAACGGACCACTGGCAGAGTCTGCCTGAAATCCCCACCGAAGACTATAACCTTCCCTCCGAAAAGAGAGTTAACATCAAGGATGTCTCTTAATGTTGTATTTAAACTTTCAACAATCCTGCGATTCGCCATGGACGCCTCATCCCACAAAATGAGACGGGCTTCTCTAAGGAGACTGGCCTCTGAAGAGCGTTTGCCGATGTTGCTTGTATACCGCGACTCACTGTTAAGTGGAAGTTTAAACCGTGAATGGGTGGTGCGACCGCCAGGCAGAATGGACGCAACAATGCAAGAACTTGCAGCTGCAAGAGCTATCCACTTGTTTGTCCTAGTTGCAGCCAATAAACACCTATACAAAAAACTTTTACCTGTCCCGCCAAGGCCATCAATGAAGAAAACAGAACCACGACATGTATGTACAGCCTCCATGATAATGTCGAATGCGCTTTTTTGGTGAGTGTTTAAGAGAGATATGTCTGCCAGATCTGCATCACTTACCAATAGTCTACGTTCGGCAGCTATTTCACGGCTGTTCCCTTCATTCACAGGTATAGCTAGTTCAGCGTCCACCAGTTTAAAGGAGTTAATATCCTTTCCCATTGAAGCAAACAAGTCAGCCAGCAATGAAAGCACTGATTGTTCTGCCTCTGCGGCTGGCTGTAATCTGGTAAAGTCTTCACACAAATGAGATTTGTAGTCGGTCCAAACGGCATGCGGATCTGGAACAGCAGAGAAACAAAGGGGTGTAGCAAAGAGTCTGCGCAGACTGGATGGTAGCTGGAATATTACCGCCTCATCCAGCGACGCCCGTATAATGAAATCACCTGAAAAAGGCCGCACTGTTCAACTGCACCTCTGAATGTCGCATACACTGTACCATTCAAACTTTTAAGATCTGTAAAGGACTGCGGCGCCCGAACATTTGCAAGCAAAAGGCAAATATAATAGCGATCCCCTTCAAAAGGGTTGACAGAAACCAGTCTACCAAGCACCTCTTTTCTCTTTCGCTGAGTCCATTCTTTTTTGTGGGCAGTCCAGACAAAGTAATGAGGGAATTCAACGTACAAGAGGTTAAGTGACCGTGCAGTAGGGTTGGAAGAGTTCATGACGAAAAACTGAGTAAGCATAGTTTTGGTAGAGTCTGTAGTATCGGTGACGTAGGTGATCCGCTGGTTTCCATGAAAGGTGAGGTACTGTGAATTTTCCAAATGAACCTGCAACGATAATACAACATGCTTTATTTCAGAAAGAGGAAACCCAAATATACGCCACACAGCTTCAGGTGGAGAAACCCAATGTGCCTTTTGAAAATCTGATATTTCATCAATGACTTCATTGTCCCCCACACCCGACAACGCCATACTGACCCTATCATGTCCTTTATACACATATTTATATATGTACTTGACTGACTTCACACTTGCACATGCTTCTACATTGATGTGGCAATCATATTTACGGGGAAGTTGTGCATTATAAGGGACGACCCACCTGTTGTCTAGTGAATGACTTCTAACACCCACAGTCACACCAGAGGGTTGTCACCTATAAGTGGGGAAACAGTTGTCATCAAAAGTTGTCGCTGCCGCGTATTCACGTGGATACTTGCTTTTGCATGCAGGAGACAATGCCCCGTGAGAAAGGACCACGTGGGGGATTTAAAATTCATGTGGCCACAGGGACCATGGATCATATGTTTCTTAACAAGACGGTACAAATCAGGTTCATTGGTGGGATCAGGGAGTTCAGCAGTTATGAATTGATCGCAGCGAGCAGCAGTGATAATTTTGCATGGCTGCGCTAAGATCAGCAGGAAATGAGCGTGGGGAAGGCCTCTCTTTTGGAATTCATTGACGTACGTATACGCAATGACTGTGCCAAATAAGGCCCCTTTTATTATGTCTTTTTTGAAGTCTTCGAGCCGGGCACGAAAGATACAGGCAACAAGTTCTGGGCGATTCTGAGCTTCATCTGCAAAGGCGAGTCGTTCCTTAATTTCAGGCCAATTTGGATTGCATGTGATTGTAATGAACAGGTCGGGTTTGCCAAAATTCTGAACAAGGGCCATTGCGTCCATGTAATGACCGCGCATGTCGCGTGGCCCACCTATGAATGACCCGGGCAAGATAACCAGCCGGCCAACATCGTTGGTGTTCTGCACACCTCCACCAATGCTATCAACCAGTCCTTGGTAGGTATCTGAACGGCATTCACGTCGTTTGCTGCGGTAATAGTCTAGTCGCTGTGTCTCTATTTTTATGCACAGGCCTACTATATACTGCTGGAACAAGCGGCCTGTATGCAAGATAAAAGAGGTGTTCTGATGGCGCGTCTGGAGCTTGTAAGCGTAATATTGCCTACATAAAACAGATGGTCTCTTATACTCTCATTCCGCATATTTTCCTCACTTGCAAGCAAATCAGAAGCTGTTTCAAATCTGCTGCAATGCACATACATTGAAGGCGGAGGGGGTGGAGCCTGGGCGGGCCGGTTGACAGCCCCTTTTGGAATCCCTTCATGCCAGCCCACTTCGCCAAGAGGGAACAAGAGAGGATACTGCAACGGATCGTAACAACCATAATAATAATGAATGTTTTGTGCCCTACCACCGTGTGAATACACACAGATATTCCTGTTGGATGCTAGACCCTCGTACTCATCCTCGACCCACACAGCAGCGACCTGGGATGATGTTGATCGATTGTAAACACGCTGGTCTAGAGCAGGGTTGCCGTTCAGCACAATGGAAAATCCATCAGCTTGATCAACATCACTTAAACTTTTGAAAAACTGTGCATATGGGTTTGACGATAGAACGCTCATTAAAACAGTAACGATTTCTTTGTCCAGGTGGCCAGTACGTTCTAACCTGGCGTCTGTAGCACATTCAGTGTCGTAAAAGTAAAGTTGCAAATTTCGAGGCGGGCATCCGTCAGGAAGCAAGTCGTTGACGAAATGGTATATCTACTCCTGAACCCTGAATGTATATATCCCCTTGTTGCGCTGACACAGTTGCTTGTCGTAGTTGTGAATCCCTATTGACGTGAACACTAAAGTATTGTTGTACGTCCGAACGCATGTTAAAAAGTTCTTAGATAAAGGGTCACGGGATGTGAATAACCGCTGCAGGGCAGGAGGCATTTCAGTTGATGTTAGGACAACCTCACCTCGGCTGCAACAACTTGTAGGGAGTTCATACTGGACTCTTTTAGCACCACAATGCGAAAAGTCGGGCACTGGTTTTAGCCTGTAACTTTCATGCGCAGGAGAAGGTGCAGAAGCGGCTTCAGCAGTGGGCTCAAGGTGGTCACCACCATCTGCCCCCCCCCCCCCCCCCGTAGCGGTCCACATCACAAGGTAACGCAAAGGCAGTAACATATAAGATAAGTTTTGGGGCACGACAGGTAAGATAGTTCGTGAAACACACCAAACACATAGCGAACAACATATGGCAGCACAGAACACGCACATATGCAAATCGACATGGTGCGCAGTTCAACAAGAACAATGAACACCATCAAGGGGCACAAAAAGTTACAGGAAACATCGGATGACAGGAACGAAATAATGATTTGAGGTTTACATTACATGGGATGGATGAATAT